TGAGCTCCATGTTTTTTTTAATACAAAACATTGTATCCATGATGTCACGTCTTGAGAGGGTTATTTGTGAATATACTACGTTTTGCTCTGTCGACCAACGTCGATTACACATTACACATTACTATTACACATTTTTTTGTGAGACTGGGTTGGTTTTACAGACAGCAGGAATTTTTTTTGCCAGTCTTTTGAAACTAAGATCCCAACATTTGATGATCACAACTAGTCGTACCCTGACCCAGAACCCAGAGGCCCTCAGGACCGGTAATTATAGGGACTCGCTTTGTAAACCAAGCACATCCATGACTACTTTTAGTGAACACACCCATCTCTGGAATTCCTGGAAGAGAACATTACTGGTTTGGCTGTGTTCAAGTGCCTACTGTAATTATGTGGCCTTTAATTGTGCTGTGTTAACACCGTTAGATTGGGATGAGCTGCGACTCAGATGGATCCATGGTTTATTTTAAAGATCTGAGGCGGGGTTGGAATCGTTTATGTTTTGTTGCAAAGCCTCGTCATTTTAGCCTGCAGGGAATCATACATCGGAGCAGGATGACAATGAAAGAGGTCAAAAAGGCAAGAGTATACTCCTCTAGGTTAGGACTGTAGCTTTGTGTTACACTCATTTAATTGGCTTAACAATTGTCTGTATTTGTCAGGATGAAGAACAAAAACATTTGGTACATTGAGTTTGTGTCTTGTGTATCACCATTAGCATTATGCCTTTTATGAAAGATGTATTTAGTCGGACAGAAAGTAATACTTACCGGATAACAGAGACCTTTACACACACACACACACACACACACACACACACACACACACACACACGCACACGCACACACACACCCATACACACACTGTAAATTCACAAGCTACCCTACAGTATACAAAGTCATTCAAACTTGCCACACACACACACACACACACACACACACACACACACATACCCATACACACACTGTAAATTCACAAGCTACCCTACAGTATACAAAGTCATTCAAACTTGCCACACACACCACACACACACACAACACACACACACACACACACACACACACACACACACACACACACATGCACAGATTGTAAAGGTGTAGTAACACAGTACAGACCCCCTCTACTTGAAAGCCATGCACACCTACACACAGGTGTTAGCAGTAAATGTTAGATGTGTTTTTAGGACCGTTTGCCGTCCTGGCTCCAACGTAATGGAACAAGCTGTTCATGATATTGCTTGAAGTCTACACATCTTCCGTCACAGACTTAAAACCCACCTGCTTTTGGCCATTAAACCCTACATAAAACATAGTTAGTTGTAGTACTTAAATATGTTTGCCTTATTTGAAGCTAATGTACCTGCGTGTTTCTTGCTACGCTGAGTTAGTTTCTTCATACTTAATTGCCTGTTAGTTAGAAAGGGATAAAAGCACTTCTCTGATTCTTATCTTATGGCAGATCTGCAGATTTGTGACTAATGCATTTCCATCTTAAGTCCAACCCTGAATAAATCCATCTAGTCATTTTCAAGTTTCAACTAGAACCATCATTGTTTCCTATCTCCAGACGGTTTTGGGCGTAGATTACATGGGCATTATATATCATGGTGGACCAGGCTCCATCCAGTCTAGCAGGATATCAATGATAAAGCCAACCTAAAAAGCTTTGTTTCTCACTGACCTCTTGTGGTTTCGATGTGTTGAAGTCGGGAACGTCACATTTGGGTGTAAGGTAAAAAGGTGTATGTATCACCTTCTTAATACAAGATTACAACAGCTTTTGAGAATATCTGCCCATCATGGTAAGCTCGGTCAATGTGTAAAAACATCCTTGATGTTTTGCCTCAAGGTTAACGCGATCTCATGCCTCCTCCATCTTTCCCATCAAATTCCACGGATGTTTCTATCTTTCCGCGCCAAGGAATCCTACGAACACTAAGACTCAGGAATGTGGACAACTCCTACGTGTGTGTGTGTGTGTGTGTGTGTGTGTGTGATGTGTGTGTGTGTGTGGGTGATGTGTGTGTGTGTGTGTGTGTGTGTGTGGTGTGTGTGTGTGTGTGTGTGTGTGTGGTGTGTGTGTGTGTGTGTGTGTGTGTTGTGTGTGTGTGTGTGTGTGTGTGTGTGTGTGTGTGGTGTGTGTGTGTGTGTGTGTGTGTGTGTGTGTGTGTGTGTGGTGTGTGTGTGGTGTGTGTGTGTGTGTGTGTGTGTGTGTGTGTGTGTGTGTGTGTGTGTGTGTGTGTGTGTGTGTGTGTGTGTGTGTGTGTGTGTGTGTGTGTGTAGGGTAGCTTGTGAATTTACTCAGATCTTGTACTTGAGTAAACGTGTGTGTGTAATTTGAGGCAGGGATCATCAAGGTTCACATTTAACAGATTTCCAGCTCTCCAAACAGCTTTACGCAGCCTTTAAAGGTCCCATGTCATGCTCTTCCGGTTAGTACCCGTCCCCTTGTGTGTTATGAAGGTTTTTATGCATGTAAACGGTGTGCAGAGTCAAAACCCTCAAAGTACACCATGTAGCGAGTAAACTCTAACACAGAAAATACCTCCCCAAAACGCCTCGTTGGAGAAACGTCATCATCCATTTGATTCTTCCGGGGACATCTGATGTCATGTCGTACCCGGAACGAAATGGACCAATCCGCGGAGCCGTTACGTTAAGCCCCCGCTGATTGGTCCAAATTGACCAATCCACGGACTTCCTCACACACTCAGTGCATGCAGCTCTGCTGATTTCTCCTCCCTGGCTGCAGGCTGATAACAGACAGTTGGGATCGCGGCGAAATTCTCTCTGCAGACCCATTCTCTCTGCAGACCCATTCTCTCTGCAGACCCATTCTCTCTGCAGACCCATTCTCTCTGCAGACCCATTCTCTCTGCAGACCCATTCTCTCTGCAGACCCATTCTCTCTGCAGACCCATTCTCTCTGCAGACCCATTCTCTCTGCAGACCCTTCTCTCTGCAGACCCATTCTCTCTAGACCCATTCTCTCTGCAGACCCGTTCTCTCTGCAGACCCATTCTCTCTGCAGACCCATTCTCTCTGCAGACCCATTCTCTCTGCAGACCCATTCTCTCAGCAGACCGTTCTCTCTGCAGACCCGTTCTCTCTGCAGACCCGTTCTCTCTGCAGGAACCCCGTTCTCTCTGCAGACCCATTCTCTCAGCAAGACCCATTCTCTCTGCAGACACCGTTCTCTCTGCAGACCCATTCTCTCCGCAGACCGTTTCTCTCTGCAGACCCATTCTCTCTGCAGACCCATTCTCTCTACACGACCCATTCTCTCTGCAGACCCGTTCTCTCTGCAGAACCCATTCTCTCTGCAGACCCGTTCTCTCTGGCGAACCCATTCTCTCTGCAGACCCGTTCTCTCTGCAGACACATTCTCTCTGCAGACCCATTCTCTCTGCAGACCCATTCTCTCTGCAGACCCGTTCTCTCTACAGACCCATTCTCACAGCGTTTATCAACCTTTTTCTTACTCAATATCAAGCCTCACTTATTGTTTTTACTTCGGCTGTGACTTTGTGTGCTCAGGATGAGTTTGGCTGTGTTTCGCTGTGTATCGCTAAACAAGGAAATCACACCTCCACGGAGCTCAGCGCGATTCACAACGTCCCGACTGGTCCCGACCAATCGGAGCACACTGGGCTCACAGGGAGGGGGGGGGGGGGGCAAGAGCTGCAACGAGCCGTTTAGTGGAGAGAGTGAATACACGTAGTTTACAGAGATGCGAAACAATGTGAGTTTGGAAAATTGCACAGTCTAAATCTATTCTAGTCGACCTCAACAATGGAATTATGATCAGTGGAAATGGCCATGACATGGGACCTTTAAATTACACTAAAACCTTCAGATTCTTAAATGGACGGGATACATGTGACTCTAATGACCAACCCTAACCTTGGGTCACTGTTGGTTTGGGAATTTAATCTACTGTAATAAACAAAAAGCTGGAAATGGACAGCACTTGTGATTGGTGTGGATGACTGACACACAAGAAGAACAAAGATACGTGTATAGTTCTGGTTTGGATGGTTATTGTCCACCCACAGTTCTTAGCCCTGCAGAAGAACTGCAGCTGCTTCGAGTATGCATGTCAAATATGTGAAAATCAATTGTGATGACAAACAACATCATCTCTGTTTACTGAAAACAGCTTTCCAAGACATCCATCAGTTGAGTCTCTTATTTATCGGCTTTTGAGCTCAGTCCTCCTCGTTTACCCTCAATGCTCAACCTGTGTTGCTACGTTGCACAAAACTGTTGTTCATATGTTGCTTTGTTTTCCATTTAGCTGATGTGTTTGCATTAGCTAATACCATTTTCCCCTAGCAAGATACTTCTAATACTCTTTATGATCATTTCAAACCCACAAGAACACATGCAGACAAATCACCCACATCAAGACAGAGTTTGAAAATCTGAATATCAGGGGTTTAGCGAGCTGTCTTTGGAGCAATTAAATCAGGTTGTTTTAGATGTGTGTGAGCCAGGACCTCAAATCTACATTTAAGAGTCTAGCACTCTTATTATGCATACACAACACCTTCAGAAGTACTCTTTGTGTGGCCATTGTTATTCTTCTGCCACTATCTTTGTCTTTCTGGAACTGAAGCGATATTTGATATCCGTTGTGAACCCGTAGAGGTATCAGGAAAGGGCTAATAAGATAGCTTCTTGTGAACTCGAGAGCATTTGATGTGTCTTGTCTTTTTCCAGGTCAGTCAGCAGGGGGATTCCAGCAATTCCTTTTGTCTGTACTTATCCTGTCGTGTCAGCCGATCCGACTCCCAACTGGTTCAACAAGGCTAACCGCTGGCGCTGTTTAGACTCAAACAGATCATCTTTCTGATCTCGTTTCATATGCTTTGTCTGTCTATTGGGTCATTAAAATGTGGATGATTTGACTAGCCCGTCTGACAGGGAAGTGTGAAGTGTAATGGCCTTGTTTGTTCATTCCCAATGTGTTATGGATAAGAGGGCTTGATGGCAAAAATGGGGAAAGGTATCTGAGGTCATACTTGTTTTTTTGAAGGGACTGATATCTGGAGGTGCCAAGGTTACAAATACTGTCCATGTGGAAATATACCATCAACAGTCTGGGTTTATGGCAATGTCCTTCATCAGAATAATCATATTATTGGCTGGTTTTCACCCTCATTTTAAGTAACGGTACATTACAGAGTTTAAGAGTTTTCCATTCACTTATTTTTGAAGAAGAATGACATCTGCCTTATTGTCGTTCTTCCCTTAATCATTATTCATCTGAAAATAGAAGAGCATGTTTGTTTACATTTGAAGGGACTTTAATATACAATACAATAATATCTAGAAATGTCATTGTAATACAAGTCTTTTGAGTATTAATATTTACAGTAATAGGGGAGGTATTATAATAAGCCATTTCTAGCTTCTCCTGTAAAGGCAGATAATGCGTGTTTGTTCATTCCCAATGTGTTATGGATAAGAGGGCTTGATGGGTATCTGTAACTAGTAACTTTTACTTGCTTGTTGAAGTGACTGTTATCTGGAGGTACAAATACTCTTGAAATGACTGCAAGGACTGTTTTACAAGTGCATTGAATTCTCACTATAGGAATTATTCAAAAGAGAGGGAAATGCTGCTGTAATTGTCGTACAATCTCTCCTGAAAGGACTGCCATATATTCTGTCCTTGTGTCTGAAGAGCCTTCTAACTGGGCGTCCATGGTTTCGTTTTCATCAACACTAACATGTGGCAACTTGCCTCGCCCTCAGAGGACCCTTCCTGGTGTTTTTCTACATCTACATTACACCGGCTGTGCTTCTTCAGCTCTTTACTTTCAACCTTTGCACAAACAGTAACTCTGTCATGTGCTCTTGGCAGAGTCCCACTTGTCGGTTCCTTCCAACTTTCTCTGCAAAGTCCCATTGCTCCTTTGCTTGCGTAATTTCACAGAGTTCAGGAGTTTACATTAACCTTGATATGACCGGAGGGTAGGAAGTAGTGGAGTACAAATACTTTGTTACTCTACTTAAGTACATTTTTCTGGTTATCAGTACTTTAGTCCACGGCGACTTTTTACTTTTCTACTTCCTTACATGTTAAACACAAATACCTGTACTTTCTACTTCTTTAATTTGAACACCAAATACCTGTACTTTCTACTTCTTTAATTTTGAACACAAATACCTGTACTTTCTACTTCTTACATGTTGAACACAATACCTGTACTTTCTACTTCTTACATGTTGAACACAAATACCTGTACTTTCTACTTCTTACATGTTGAACACAAATCACCTGTACTTTCTACTTCTTACATGTTTGAACACAAATAACCTGTACTTTCTTACTTCTTACATGTTGAACCCAAATACCTGTACTTTCTACTTCTTACATGTTGAACACAAACACCTGTACTTTCACTTCTTACATGTTGAACCCAAATACCTGTACTTTTCTACTTCTTACATGTTGAACCCAAATACCTGTTACTTTCTACTTCTTACATGTTGAACACAAATACCTGTACTTTCTTACTTCTTACATGTTGAACACAAATACCTTTACTTTCTACTTCTTTCATTTGAACACAAATACCTGTACTTTCTACTTTCTTACATGTTGAACCGAAATACCCTGTACTTTCTACTTCTCACATGTTAACCCAAATACCTGTACTTTCTACTTCTTACATGTTGACCACAAATACCTGTACTTTCTACTTCTTACATTGTGAACTCAAATACCTGTACTTCTACTTCTTACATGTTGAACACAAATACCTGTACTTTCTACTTCTTTACATGTTGAACACAAATACCTGTACTTTCTACTTCTCACATGTTGAACACAAATACCTGTACTTTCTACTTCTTACATGTTGAACCCAAATACCTGTACTTTCTACTTCTTACATGTTGAACACAAATACCTGTACTTTCTAACTTCTTACATGTGAACCCAATACCTGTACTTTCTACTTCTTACATGTTGAACCCAAATACCTGTACTTTCTACTTCTTACATGTTGAACACAAATACCTGTATTTCTACTTCTTACATGTTGAACTACTAAATACCTGTACTTTCTACTTCTTACATGTTGAACACAAATACCTGTATTTTCTACTTCTTACATGTTGAACACAAATACCTGTACTTTCTACTTCTTACATGTTGAACACAAATACCTGTATTTTCTACTTCTTACATGTTGAACACAAATACCTGTACTTTCTACTTCTTACATGTTGAACCCAAATACCTGTACTTTCTACTTCTTACATGTTGAACACAAATACCTGTACTTTCTATTTCTTACATGTTGAACCCAAATACCTGTACTTTTCTACTTCTTACATGTTGAACTCAAATACCTGTACTTTCTATTTCTTACATGTTGAACCCAAATACCTGTACTTTCTATTTCTTACAGTTTGAACCCAAATACCTGTACTTTCTACTTCTTACATGTTGAACACAAATACCTGTACTTTCTACTTCTTACATGTTGAACACAAATACCTGTATTTTCTACTTCTTACATGTTGAACACAAATACCTGTACTTTCTACTTCTTACATGTTGAACACAAATACCTGTATTTTTTCTACTTCTTACATGTTGAACACAAATACCTGTACTTTCTACTTCTTACATGTTGAACCCAAATACCTGTACTTTATACTTCTTACATGTTGAACACAAATACCTGTACTTTACTTCTTACATGTGAACTCAAATACCGTACTTTCTACTTCTTTTCCTTTTGAACACAAATACCTGTACTTTCTACTTCTTACATGTTGAACTCAAATACCTGTACTTTTCTACTTCTCATATGTTGAACCCAAATTACCTGTACTTTCTACTTCTACATGTTGAACTCAAATACCTATACTTTCTACTTCTTACATGTTGAACTCAAATACCTGTACTTTCTACTTCTTACATGTTGAACCCAAATACCGTACTTTCTACTCTTACATGTTGAACTCAAATACCTGTACTTTCTACTTCTTACATGTTGAACTCAAATACCTGTACTTTCTACTTCTACATGTTGAACCCAAATACCTGTATTTTCTTACTTCTTACATGTTGAACACAAATACCTGTACTTTCTACTTCTCACATGTGAACACAAATACCTGTACTTTTCTACCTTCTTACATGTGAACACAAATACCTGTACTTTTCTACTTCTACATGTTGAACACAAATACTGTACTTTTCTACTTCTCACATGTTTGAACACAAATACCTGTACTTTCTATCTTCTTACATGTTGAACTCAAATACCTGGTACTTTCTACTTCTTACATGTTGAACACAAATACCTGTACTTTCTACTTCTTACATGTTGAACCCCAAATACCTGTACTTTCTACTTCTTACATGTTGAACTCAAATACCTGTACTTTCTACTTCTACATGTTGAACACAAATACCTGTACTTTCTACTTCTTACACTGTTGAACACAAATACCAGTACTTTCACTTCTTACTCTTCTTTACTTTTACTTGAGTAAAGAAGTTTAGTCAGTACTTCTACTTTCACCAGAGTATTTAAAACACGAGTATCTGTACTTCTACTCGAGTAAAGGACGTGTGTACTCTTGTCATCTCTGGATATGAAGTTACATTTTTCAAGATTAATTGAGCTATTCCACAATCTTTCTAAGCAACAGTAAAAGTGCCTGGTTCCCTGGTGTTAGAATAACCACTCAACCATCACACTGTGTTTATGTTGTCACATGACTCAACAAGATGAGTAAGATCCATCCGTCCACATTCTGACTCCACAGGCAGTTTAGTGTCTTCACGACGGATCAGAAACAGACACATGTCCGGCTTTTCATCGCTTTCAGGAAAGATGTTCGCTCCACCTCTGTTAGTGTTTTCCCTTTGAACACTCTGTAATTATGGACAGGAAGCTGTGGACCACACATCTCCTGTGGGACGTTTCCTCACACGGAGAGGATGAAGGGGGGAGGAAATTCAGCATTACATTTGATATTCCTGTCGGCAACAGTGTGCAAAATACAGCGCTTTACCTTCCTTTTTCTATTGAGATGAATACACAACATGTACAACCAAAAGACACACAAATGTTTCTTTAAAACAGAAGAAAGAAAATAACTAAAAAATTACATAATACAAATTAAATTAGATAACAGCAATTACTTACAAAATATACAAAACGCAGAATACATATGTCAGCTAAAAATAATAACAATAATACAGACAAACAGAAATAAAAATAAAACACACACACACACACACACACACACAGATAAGATGTACTTTATTGGTCCCAATTTGGGATTTGTTGGCGTTGCAGCAGCACAAAAAACAAGGCATTGCACATTAGAGAAATTCAGATGCTGCTTAGTGGTGATAGGACTTTACTTTCTCAAGTGTCTAAATAACCTATATATCTGATTTAAAATGTTAATTGAGCCTTTTTCTACATGATATTTATCTTGATCCGGTGAAACTCTCTGGAGTCATTTAGTAGAGATCCTTTGCACTAGCCAATGAAAACATCGCCTCCTCTCCAGTCATTTTCCCGTTACCAAATGGTGCACAGGTTTAGAGCGAAATTTCCAACAATTGAGGAACGTTGTACATTTTCAGCCGATTCTCAAGAGGGCTCGGCCGGATACATAACGACCATAATTCCTGTAACTCTGGTACATGTTTCTATTAGGTTTGAATTGTTGTGTGGATTTGGCAGCCCAAACACACAAATGTGTCTCTTTGTTGAAGTCTCTATAGTGAGTAGATTGTCGTTGCTGTGGTCGACTGCATTTGTTTCGACCTCCGAGCTAGATATGATGTCAGGAAAGCTCATAAAGGTGACCAGGACATTGCTGGTCAGCCATGAAGCGCTGTGAATGGACCGAATGAATGGAGATCTTTGTTATATGACATGAACTCGCCTGTAGACAACACACTGACTGGTTTTCTGAATCACTGATCCACTCACTGAACCTACACAGACTTCCTTACAGAAC